AGGGGGGGGGGGGGTTGGACGTACTTTTGTTTTTGTTCAAGGATTTGAAGAATGGTAGGTATATGTCTTGTGCACTTATAAGGTAGCTTGTAGGATAGCTGTATCCCGTACGCGGATGCGGGTACGATATCAGTGGAATAGTCGCCAATGACAGACAATAACTTGGAGCTCAGATTTTCGATTCTTCCGCTGTCGTAGAGTGAAAGACAGTAGCCGTCGTCGAAGCGTGTTTTGAGGAAGAGTGGACTACCGAGTGCCTTGAGAGTGCCGCCTTCGAGTACTCCCAATTTGTCTGCGATGAAGTCAGCTTCGTTAGGGCAGTGTGTGCTGACGACAATAGCGCGGTTTTGCTTCAGTTCGCGCAGAGTGCGCCAAATGACTCGGCGTGAAAGGACATCCAAGCCAGTACTAAGATCGTCGATAACAATGCATCGGGGGTTGCCAATAAGCGCCATTGCGATGGCTACACGTTTCTTTTCGCCGTGTGAGAGTCTGTGGGGGAGCCAGTCGATTTTGTCGTAGAGTTCCAGCATTCTGAGTGTGACCTCAATGTCACAGTTGGCTATGTGTCGGGGTACGCCTTTCAGTGTGGCAGCGAAGCTCATTTGTTCACCGATTGTCATACGGTCCAGGAAGAAGTTGGTTTGTGGACAATAACCGATGCGGCGTCTTGCAGCTGAAACGTGACGGTGTATATCATGCCCGGAAATGAACACGTTTCCCGAAGTTGCGTCTTGCAGACCGCCAATTATCGACAGTAACGTGCTCGCGCCCGATCCATTGCGCCCCATGAAAACCACAAGCTGCCCTGCGCATACCCGAAATGAGATTCCTTTCAACACATGCTGCCCCGAAGGAGGCTGGATCAGCCCGATGTCCAACTTCCGCTTCACCCAGTTCTTCAGCCGCTGCCAGCTCACACGCCTCGTAACGTAAATCTTATGCACCTGATCCACTATTATCAACGGCATCCGTGGCGTACCTGGCGCTGGACCCTGCTTCGACCGCTCGCGCGTACCCCGTATACTCGGGCCCGGCGATTGAGTGGTAGAAATGCGACCGCCGCTCCGACCTAACATATTCAGACTCGCGCTCGCATTCAGCGCACTCGCATTCAGCGCACTCGCATTCAGCGCACTCGCATTCAGCGCGCTCGTGTTCAGCGCACTCGTGTCCAGCGCGCTCGTGTTCAGCGCACTCGTTTTCAGACCCTGAATATTCCGCCCGTTCACTTCCGACCCGTGTACCTGAGAATACTGTGGGTTGAGGTTGATACCGTTGACGTTCTCATTTCCAACGGTGTCGCGGACCAGGTCTGCGATGGTCGACTCGTTGGACTTGGCAGGTCTTGTATGCGTACCAATGTGTAGAGGTCGGTTTGTGTGTGCGGCGACATTCTCATCTAGCCGGCCCAGGCTTGGATAGGTGGCGAGTTGGTCAGTTGGCGGGCGGCCGGGCGTAAGTGTCTCTCGTGAGGGAGGGCGGCTGGAGGTGTGTCCGAGTCGTGGTAGGTCGTTGTCATCTGGTTCAAAGAGGTCTGACTGGTTTTGTGGAGGGACAAAGACCTGTGCTTGGGCCCAGACCTTCCTGCGGGGTTGGAGGGCTTCTGCTTTGTTCCAATAGGAGGATCGGAATATGAAATCCCAGCGTCTGGGAATGCCCATTTGGCCGGGGCGGATTTGGTGAAGGTACCAGCCCAGCATGGCATACACCAAGCCGTCAAGAAGATAAAGGAGGTAGAGTACGGCCTGAGGTGTGTCACAACGACTGATGTCTTCGTAGTCGTAGGCGGCCGGGCTGATGAAGCCGCCAAGGAGTTGGTCGAGGCCGCACACGAGGGCACTCTGTGGCGACATGAACATATCCCAGCCCCCAATACGGGATGAATCTCCGCGTTCGACGTCGTGTACGGCCTTGAGGTAGGGTACCATCATGACAATGTAGACAGTGCCGAAGATGAAGAGTGATGCGCGCGCACTATCTGTAAATGAGGTGGCTAGGATGCCTGTTGATACGCAGCTGACTTCGAAGCAAACGATCAAGCAAAAGAGCGAGACGTAGGTCACAAAACCGTTGTTGACGCCAGACAACCCCAAAAATGCCATTGTGACTGCACACACCAACAGCGACTGCACAACCGCAAACAGACCAATGGACAGGTAATGACTCGCCCAATAGGCTGTCTCGGAAGCTCCGTATATCTGAATAAACTCTCGCACCTTACTCTCTTTCTCCTCCATTACCGTTTGAACAAACTTCAGATTCGAACTTAGGAAGACTGTAGCCCATATGGTAGACCAACAAATATACTCCGACCCAGACCCGGCCCTCAAGGTATTTTGCTTGGGCTTGTCCGAGTCACTCGACCTCAACATCAACAACACCGCCGTGGCCATAGCGGGATAACATATCTCGATAATCGTCGTCAAAGGACTCCGGAGCGTCACCAATATATGCCTTTTGCATATAGCTAAAACCGCTGATGTGAGCCTGCCTCCCATAAATGCATTTTTGGACAACGCTATTCGCCCCCGAACAACGCTATCCGAACAAACCCTTGCTTGCCCTTCTTGCGAACCAAAGTTTTACAACCCTCCCCACCAGCATGGCTACCCCATTCTTTTCAATTAACCGTATGCCGGTACCCAGAGAGAAATGATCATATGTATCCGTATACCTCTCCAAGACCAACGCCATGGTCAGCACAGCGACAACGACCGAGAGGACCGTCAACTGGAACGGAAGCTGGTAGTATGCAAAACGCGTTTGGAAGCTGCGCTCATGTACCAAGTAAAACGTAAAGACGCAGGCCATGTAAGCCTGCTTCTGCCCGAAGAATCCGACTGTACGTCTGACACACAAATCATATGCACGGACATGTCCATGCTTGTCCGGATACTCCTTGGCCTACAATACGTAGGATCATCGGAACCGCAAGCGTCATATCACGTGGCATTGTCGGAGGGTTACTGGGTCGTGGAACTACTCCAGTTGGACGGATGTGATGAGTTCAACGCCGTAGTCCCTTTGCTCCAGAGATACGAGTCAATCATAAACCCCAAAATACAAATCGTTTGCGGGGCTCTCGGATTAACAGCCCTCAATCTTGCCATGGCCTATTCAGTAGCTGCGGCAGGAAAAGATGTCAACGGTCACAAAGTCGGAAATCCTGCCCCAGTTGCTGAATATCGCACCCACGGCTCGGCCCCCCACGGCTCGGCCCCCCACGGCTCGGCCACTCACGGCTCCGCCACCCACGGCTCCGCCACCCACGGCTCGGGGGCCCTGTCTTCCTCAGTGGCGGGTCCTGTAGACGGAACCGGCTTGCATGAACTTCCTTTTCTGAACGCATATGTGGAGGAACGGAAATTTCGGAAGCGCGAGCATGAACAGGCCATTGGCTCCCGCGAAGCCCAGTGGGAGTCTGTGTTGCGAGTCAGGGAGCACACCAGTCCTAACAGTAACGCACTTCCCGTTGTGACATCCGCAACCCAAGAACCTGACCGAACCACCGCTTCCCCAAGCCCTGCGGCTCCAGCAGCCGAGAAGGACTTTCGTTTTCGGGAAGGTGAATGTTACCGCCGAGATGACCCCCATGAGCGCACTCAAAAGCGTTCCCAGTTCGACGGCTATGTCCCGTTGCCCAAGAACATTCGGAGCGGCGTTTTCGGCCGCGAAAGAGAGCGGGAGCTGCGACGAGCACAGTTGCAGAGCCACAGGAACAGGCAAAGAAGAAACTATGACGAATTACACCGCCGAGAAGCAGGTCTGGATGGAGAAGATCGAGATAGAGGAGGTCGTGACTGGAGACCTCCAGCCCCTACGGATAGTCCGGGAAATTATAGCTATCGTGGGGGTGATTACCATAGGAATGATAGCCGCAGGAACCATGGGTATCATGGCAATGATAGTAATCATGGGTACCACGTCAACGATAGCAACCGCGGGAATTATGGCCCAGATGGCAATGGGCGTCGTCATGCCTACGGAAGTGGGGATTTAATGGACGGGGATGAAGCTTCAATGAGGACCGGTCGGCGCCACGTTCCAGACGAAAAGACAAGAGTTTCTGACGAGGAGTATATTATGTCAGAGACAGAAGTAGAGCAACTGGGTTCGCCGAGATTCATTCGGACTGGGAACCACCGAGCTGCCCTTCCTGAAGGGCTGAGCCCGAATAGCCCTGATCCTGATAGCCTTGATGAGAATGACTTAAGCTTGTTGGTGGAAAGGTTGGGAAAGCCATTGTCGTATGCCAGCATTGGATACTGGAACGATGAGTTGGTGAAAATTGCTTATGAGGAGGAGCGAAGGTCGATCCAGCTGCATTACCTGGACCCCGCGGAGGCGGGTGACTGGAGCAGAGATCGTGTGAAGCGCGCGATCAATGCAGCCATAAGTTTATTGGAGGACGATCAGTTGGCTACGCGCTTGAACTGGATGTTTGTGTGTCCAAATCATACGTACGCGGAGACTGTGAGAACCCGGTTCGCTGCCTATGCTAACAGCGCTAACTTGGTGGCCCAGCGCCAGCTGTTTGTGCACATGGTGACCGAAGATTCTGGCCCGCAAGCTATCCTAAATTTATTTCTACGGCAAAGGCATCCAGGCAGGCGAGGGGCCAGAGACCTGACGATAACGTCTCACACGCTGCTGCAAAGCGCCCCATACTTTTTCCCTCAAGATGTGGACGTGGTCATTGACATGGGATTGCAGACGGTGTCAACCAAATTTCCGTGGAACAATCAGCTACAATACAACATCACCAGTCAGCTAACGTCTGACGACCTTTTAACCCGCACGGCGGCTGCAGGCAGGTTCTCTGGCCGCCGTTTAACAAGGCTCGCTAACGGCCGTCGAAAGGAAGGCGACGACGTGGATGTGGAGTATTTCGTGTGTGCTTCGGAAGACATGATTAGTGACTCAACATCCACTGTCGGAAGTCCATCCTCAGCCAACGCGTCACTTATCATTCCCTCACTCCTTATGTCTCTGTTAAGACCTAGTACCGGTGGGAACATCGATAAGAACGTTGGAGGAGAGGTGATGGACGGGGTAGGATCGATATATGGCAAACTAGTTTTGCCCAAGTTGCCTTTCGCTCCTGTGGTGGAGGGTGTGCTGCAATTGCTTGCCAATACCGGTTGTGTTAACGGCATCGGAGGGTTAGTAGAGACCAGGTGCTACAACTTTATGGGATGGCTAGGGCTTTTGGAAGACGAGTGGTTGGCGGCTTTAATGACCAACTCGGAGGAGGCCGGATGTGTCGGTGAAGCGGCGGCAATATCGGCGATGCTGTTGAAATGTCCGCATCCTTTCGAGGAGACGCGGAGTGGGGTTTCCAAAATCGATCGATTGAGACTGAACCAATTGTACTTCGCGGTGTCCGAAGGAGACTTTATGACGTTAGGCAACGTGCTCTTCGAGTTCAGCCAACACGATCAACAGTGGTGCAGAAGTCACGGACTGAAATGGCAACAGCTTACCGACGCGCAGATGTACCACTGCCAACTTGTCGAATTTTACAAGTCCAAGACGGGTGCTAAAGTGCCTTCGAACGCTCTGGAAATTGCCAAGGTGTTAACGAACACATTTCTACCCTCCATGGCCGAACTTCGGGCAGACAACGAGTACAGGCTCATTCGGCACACACTCTTCCCCGGGATGAAGAATAACCTACCATGCTCGAACGAAGACATCGTGATCCATCTGGCGCAAGATTCAGTGGCGCACGTGCAACCATGCCTACCTAGCAAAATCACTTTCTGGAAAGGAGTTGCAGATGGAACCATTTTGTCTAGCGAAGTAGGCGTCAGCAAACGAATGGACATGTCCGACTCACTGAAGTGGCCAGTATTCGTCAGTCACTATCACCGCGTCGGTGCCTAGATGGGATGCGTTCTGAAGCCTTCTGTGTCTGTCTTCTGGACATACATTCCGTGTCTGTCTAGACCTTCTACATACACACCTGTTCTCTAGGTCAGTTGTTTAGAGCTATGCCTGTTGTCTATGTCGCTGAATGAAACGTCGCAAGATTAGTTGGTAACTAGAAAAAAATGTTTAAGACTGCTGAGCTGTATCCGCAGTAGTTAGTTCAGAAATTAAACGGTGGTCATCTTGGCCCTGGCTCTCTTCTTGTTCCTCAGTTTTGAGTTCTTCCTCCTTTTGGGGTTGTTCCTGCTTTTTGGGTTGTTCCTCCTTCTTGGGCTGGGCGGGGGGAGCTCTGAAGGAGGTTTGTTTTTTCTTCCCGGTTTCCAAGTGGGTCGGGGGGAGGTCAACGAGAACGAGTTTCGGCAGGAGACCCTTTTCTTTGGAATAGTCGTATAGCGACTCTGTAACTTTTTTGTGCTCGAACCATCCTTGATCGGATGGGAAGAGCTGGAACACACCTCCATTGAAGTTGGGGAATTGTCTTAGTATGTCCTGTTGTGGGCATAAAGGACATGTGCCCATTTCTTGGCAGAAGCACTTGACCTCTCCACCTCTTCCTTTCGTTTGTGATTGCACAAAGGGCTTATAACCAATGGTAACATGTTCAGGTTTCTTGGCTTCTCTAATCAGTTGTCTCTGCACCTCCGGAGTTGCTCGTAGGAAGTGCAGGTGCCCCTCTCGGGGAATGCAGGCAGGCACATATGCGGACGAGGCTTCGAGAACCTCCCTCATATCAAGCGAAGACGCTTGGGAGTACGTGTAGGTGAACGGTTTGCTGCCCGTGCTCACCCCCGTCTCAGCACGTGAGTAGGGTTCGCGGTTAGGCAAGTCTTGTTCGTACCTCACCCGGTGTGCTGACGGTTGTCGATCTAGGTCCCCTTGGGCATGCCAGGCTAATGATACCTTCTGATCAGCACCATTGGCCAATAAACCACCCAGCTTCCTGTAATTCTGAGCCACAACCTGTTTTGCTTGCTCCAAAAATCCGGACATCTTAGTCACACATTTTTCGTTGCTTTAACGACGCATGCCCCCATCTAAAGGGGGGAACTCCGCCGGGTCGTCCAACCCGTACATCCCCAACTCACCGCCCTCACCGTATGGGGATACGCTTCCGGTTGCACTCCCGGCCGTATGTTGACCGCTCCCTGCCGCGTACTGCCCATTTCCGTTTCCATACTGACCACTTCGATTTCCATACTGACCACTTCGATTAACGTAATTTCGACCGGCATACTGGCCACTCCGGTTGGTGAACTGATTGCCGTCCAGCCCATACGCAGTACCTCCATAAGACGCTACCCCACACGCCTGCCCCGCACTGCTCCCAAAGGGCTGCGCCGCATTACTGAACTGCAGTGTGGGGATACCAAATTGACCGGCACCAAATTGCGCCGCACCCGCAGCCGTAGAGTAGACAGAGACGTTAGATCCGGCCCCCTTACTAGCATTGTACGGCAAATATCCGTTTGACGGCCGAGTTGGAGCTCCGGGGTTGCTCGTTCCAAATGGCCCAGGCACGCCTTGAGCCATGCCTTGAGCCGCGCCCTGGGCCATGCCTTGAGCCGCGCCCTGGGCCAGGCCTTGAGCCATGCTTTGGGGTGCGTTCCTGGCCATACCCGGGGCTACGCTTTGTGGCATACCCTGGGTCACGGTTCGGGGCATACCCTGAGCCACACTCTGGGGCACACCCTGAGCTACGCCCTGGGCCACGCCCTGGCTCATGCCCGGAGCAACGCCCTGGGCCATGCCCTGAGCTACTCCTTGTGTCGCGGTAGATGGCATAAGTTGGCAGAGTGAGTACTGCGATTCATTTTTGATTGCAACTCGAAGGGTTTGACCATTGAAGTTGCGGCCGTTCAGCCAGAGAGCGGCCTTCTGAGCGAGTTCCTCAGTGCGGAAGGTGATGAATACGGCGGAGCTGAAAGGGTTCACGACGGCGTAGACGCCAAGTACGTCTGAAGGGTGGGTGATGTGTGGACACACCTTCAAAATAAATTCATGGTAAGCGTTGTCTTGTTCCCGTGGGTCCCGGATGATGACCGTGCGGCGTTTGGTCTGCATGAGCGGTAGGATGGCCTGGCCGTTCCCACTCATTTCGATTAATTCGTCCTTGACCAATTCCGCCAGCAGTTTGTGCAGCTCGTTCGCCGTTAGCTGCGGCAATGCCGGGTGCTTCAACAACGCCTCCACCGGTAAGGCCACCGCTTGTCCCGGCCCTCCCGACCCTGCAGGGCCGCCTGACCTCTCGGAGCCGCGCCGCTTCTTGCCCAACTGGACCAGAGCAGCCGACAGGTGCGGGTCTGCAGCCACGCCTTCACGACTCAACAACTTTGCCAAGGTACCCAACAATAAACGCTGACGACTCGCACCATTCGGCGTCGGCGTCGCATCGTCCAAGTACGCACTAAAGTACTCTTCTCCAGCAGGCACTGCCACCACGGGCATTGCCCCTCCGTGCACCGCGGAGGGCATTGTGCCTGCCCCTCCATGCACGGCGAGAGCGCCCGGAGGGAGCCCCCCTGCAGTAAACACCGGTCCTGAGGTCACGGCACCGGAGCGCACTGCGCTAGAAGCCATTGCTCCGGGGTACAACCCCGTTGACAGTCCGTTGGCGCCTACGTACCCAGTGCCGAAGGCCGCCGGAGCACCGTAAGCAGCGTATGCGGCGTATTCGCTGTAAGGCGCCTGACTGGCGCCGTGCAGGACCGCCTCCTTCGAGTTATATGAACGCGCCACGTACTCCTTCCTCACGGCTGCCCCGGCTTCGCTACTCTCAGTCGTATCGCTGCTCTGCACGATGGCCGGTGCCACACCTGGTGCAACCCCTGGTGCCACACTCGGTGCCACACGTGGTGCCATACTGGGTGCCACACCGGCTTGGGGGCGGCTATCCTGTGTGTTTTCGACACGCTGTGTGAGTTCCATAGCGAGTGTCGGGTCCACGCCCTGGGTGAGGTCCACGCCCTGGGTAACTGCGGGCGTGATCGCAGTGGTAGTTGTGGGCGCATTTGAAGAAGAAGATGAGGAGAGACCCTCCTGTCTTCGGTTGCCCTGCTGGTAGGGGTCGGTAACTATGATTAGGTCTGTTGCGTTCTGATAAGGATCCTTTAGCTGTGTTTTAGGTCCCCGATACTTGGCCCCTCGAGGATAGCGGTTACGGAAGCCACCTTGTTGTTGTCTACCTTGTTGCCGCCCTTGCTGGTGCATTTTATCGTCACCACCGGCTCGGCCATAGTTACTATCTGCTGCGCCTTCTGTTCCCGGCTTCCTATCTACGGCGCCAGCCCAGCGTCGGTCCATTTGTTCGCCATTGGCTCTTTCGCCATAAGATCTTTCGCCATAAGATCTTTCGCCATAAGGTCTTTGCTTATACCGTCGGTTGTAATGCTTTCCATCTACTCCATTACCCACTTGTCCTTCGATCACTTGTGCTTCGTTGTTCGCTTCAGGTTGGTGAGGATGGAAGAGGTGGTCGCTGTTTGGCATAGTTACATAAAAAAGAAAAAGCGACAGCGTTTGGCGCCTCGAAGGGCGGCGGTTGCGGGCAGTCAGGGCCGTCTTGCTGCCGGACCTTGGCTCAGGTCCAGGTCGCTGACCTTTGTGTGGCCTAAAAGGCTCTCTGGCGATTCAGCCTCGGGCTTTAGAATTTAGAGGCAGGCGACCAGCATCAGGAGATGGTCAGCACTATGAGATGGTCAGCACTATGAGATGGTCAGCATCAAGAGGTGCCCAGCTTGCCTTGTGGTTTTGTTCCTCGAGTCTTCCACTTCCGTCCTGGATGGGTGTTATTGGATTGAAATTCCGTCCCGGATTGCTCTCATAACTTCCGGCGTGTATCGAACAAAGTCACGGTCGTAGCTGAAGGAAGGAATGGGGTGGATGGCAACTGCAGCTTCACCAAGCGGGGGGAAATTGTCGCTCAAGGGCGGGAAATTGTCGCTCAGGAGATT